GCCCAGTACTTTAGACATGATGCGCGCAAAATAGCTGCCAGCTGATTTCAAGCCAAATGGGAGATGGGTCATCTGGTAGATCTTATTTTCAGTAATTACGCCGCATTTATAGCTGCTTTCTTCGTCAAGCGGTAGCTGCAGGTAGCCACTGGCTAAGTCTAATGTGGTGTAAAAGCTATTGCCCCCTATTTTCTCCAACACGTCGTCAATGCGCGGTATGGGGTATGGGTCTGGGAGGGTTTCAGGTGACCTCGTTAATTGGACGTCTCATGTCGAGGCAGACGCGTAACGAGTTGTCCTTTTTTCGAACCACTACCAGGTTGTGAACCCAGTGGGTTTGTGACTCTTTCATGACACCAGCCTTTAGGAGTAGGTTAATATGTTTTTGAATCTCCTCCCGATATTTTACGGGGACCCTATACGGTCGAACTTTTGCAGGTGGGTCGTCCGTGGTATGGATATGGTTTTTCCCTGCGGTGCAGCTGCCGATGTCGTATTGATGTCGCGAGAAAACGTCAGCATAGTTGTCCAGTAAACGGCGTAATTGGTCGCGCTGAGCAGGTGTGAGATCGCAATTGTCGAGGTCGATTCTATACGAGGGATCCACAATGTCTGTTGCGGTTGCGCAGGTTACCGCTACCGGGGTTCGACCGTGCTCCTCGTTGTCCTCTTTTGCATGTTCTTTAGAAAGAATAGTCGCTTTTGCGATGTGCATACCCGCATACAACGTTTGAGGTTGGTTGGTTGGATTAGCAACCAACAGTGTTGGTTGTTGAGAGCTGACTATGGCGGGAGCTACGGCAAGGTCCCTTTGAGAAAGAGAAGAAGCTTGAGAGACGAGGATGAGGTCCTGGTCTATCCCAGGATGTTGTAGAGTACAGGGTACAAGAGTTTCCGTATTGGGTTGTAATTGGATTGTGCTACTTACGCATACTGGAAACAGAGCAGGATGGCATTTTTGAGAAGGTTGGACGACTTGGCCTAATGGTAGCGATACTGCGCCGAAGGAGACCGTTCGATTCTGGAAATCGATGGTCATCTTGGGCAACTGTGCGAGGACATCGTTACCAAGAATCACTTCGTATGCTGAATTTATGTTCGGCACGCACGCGCCTTTGGTGAAGTGGATCACGGGTTGGAGGGCCATTGCAGCTATGTTCATTTAAACCTTTTTAGATCCCGCTATTGGGACGCGAACGCCCGCCATGCCCATAGCGGTGACAGATAGTGGTGGGTCAAGTTTGAAAATTCCCAGGGCTGCACACAGACTTTGAGCGGCCAAGGTGATATTGGATCCCGTGTCAATCAGAGCTGACACGTTGATCCTGTTTACGGTAATCCTTATGTGCGTAGAGAAGGATTGCGTGTCGAGTGAGAGAGTGTATACGGAGGGGAAGGTGGTAAGAGGCGCCAGCTCGGTTGGTGCGTCCGCCGGGGTACGGTATCCCTGCGGCGTCATGATTGGTCGATCCTGGCCACGCCCCCTTGCGCGATAGAACCGTGCGACATGGATTAAGGAGGTTTGGTGGAACTTGGCAAGAAAAGTAAAGTAAAAGTAAGCGAAAAGCAATATGAATAGTAACGACCGTGCAGCACACGGTGACCCAAGGTTCATAGATGGTGGACAGAATATAAGTGAATACACGAGTAGTAAAGGAAGGAGCTGCAATTGCGAGAGGGTGAGACAGGTTAGAGAAAGATTCTTCATCGACATGAAGCGTTAAGCGCGTTATGAGTCCCTTCAACGGCGGACCATAGTTCCGTAAATTGTTGCTCAGGAATGAATTCACTGATATTAGTGATGACTAAATTATGAAACAAAGTGAGTGCAGGGCGAATTTCGCTCTGCGGGCGGTTGAAAGAATGCTCGAGCACAGTAATGGTGGAGTGAGGGATTGACCGGAAGAGATTAGAAAAAGGGAAATATTGAGAAATAGAACCGTTGAAAGGAAATTCAAAGAATAAATCTTGTGAGCAAGGAATAGAGGTGGCCAAGTGCGTAATAATGCTTGTGGATGGATCAATGAAGGCTTTCCATTTGGCTTTGTTGGGTAGATTTACTGAGATAGAAGGTAGCGAAAAGCACGATTTATTGAATGGGGACAAAGAGTACATGGAAGGAGAGAGAGATGCACATGACTTAGTACGAACGATATTGCCTCCAAGGAAGGTGGCCTCAATATCGCTGCGTTGTAGAATATTGCGCATAGCCACTGTGGGATTTGCAGAAATAGCTGCCACTAATGAAGCGCTGAATGAGTTCACGGACTTGCACAATGCCAAAATTGCGTGGTGGAACGCATTGCTCATAGATTCCTGCATGCTGTCCTCAACTGCCAGGAGTTGGGCTGCCAGCTGATTGGTGTCGCGAGACCAACCTGTTGGCGAATGGAAGTGGCCCGTTTTGAACGATGGAGGGGTGAAGTCCCGATGGCATAACCCTGGTCAGTAACAATGAGAGAATGACCACAATCCAGGATAGGAGAACTGGATAAAGAAAATGAGAGGGCGAACTCCTTCGAGTCGCTAAGCCAGACATGTTCGGCCAAAGTGCCTTTCATAGATGAAACGTAAATGTACTTACATGTTTCCTGTTCGTCCGGGGTCCAAATAATAGCTGCTCCGGATTCCATATTGCACTCGCCCTTGTGATATGAGCAGTTCTCAAGTGGACCGATAGAACTTTCAATAGCGTCCGAGCCGTGGTACGCGAAAATTGACGCCTGAAAAACAATACAATTAGTCACCGAAGAGGAGTAATCCGTACAACAATGGAAAGGCGCCGAAGGCCATTCTATGTTCAGTTTGTTTAGGGTTTTCATAACTGTTCCTACCGTAATGAGGTCGCCGTAGGCGCATGTTTTGTGTGCGACCATATGACGGCATGCTTCTGATGGTACAGTTTGCTCCAGAGAAACGACGGATTGTGACCTAGCTCCGAAAAAATTTACTGAATACGTCGCTGTTTGCGTTACTACGCGACAAACATGTGCAGAACTTTTATATCGGATGGTGTTTGGACGGTATATTCTAAGCTTCATAGGTGTTACCTTAGCCGTCCATGGTGGCAGGATCCGGGTGCAGTTGATGTCCGTTGGAATTTTCCAGTAAGTGACGGGAGCCTTGTTCGAACATAAGAGAGGTGGTGCGATTTGAGCCTCTGAAATCTGAGAACATATTGCAAGTGCGAGCATACATGAATACCATGCCAGTTGTAGCAAGGAAGGATGAAGTTCTGGATGTACCCGGAGGGCATTCATGGGGCTGATCTTGGAGATTAAGGTCGCGGGTTGCGAACGCTAAGTCCGCCAACGCGCTGTTCCTCTCGATGAGAGCTGCGATGTGGGCATCCTTCTGTTGGTCGCTCATCCACTGGCGTGGTGTCGTCCGTTGGCTCGAGGGCGAATACCTTCGGTTGGCTACGGGAAGCAGGCTGTCTGAAAATAGATGGGTTAGTGAGCTGCACCTTGTTATTGTTGTTCCACCTCTGATTATCTAGGGGACGACGTCCACTCCAAGGGCCTTGCTGTTGCCGTTGTCCTAGGTTGTTAGGACGTCGGTTTCCGGATCGATAGAACGGCCTAGGTGGGGCCAAGTGAGCCGGCGGTAAATCGTATCTGCAAAATGTTTGGATGTGGCCTGTTCTGCCACAACGAAAACACGTCACGTCCGAATTTGGGGCTCGTTCCATAGCTCTGCGGTTAAAGGTACCCCTTTGATGTGGACTTGCCGACAGCTGGCGATTGGCGAAATTGGGTCTGCGCTGGTAATATTGCGCCGGTCCTCTAAAATTTCCGCGTTGTGCTTGCACGGCGTGAACTACGGGGGTTGGTGCCTGCACCGGTGGAAATATGGTGATGGCATTAGCTGCATCCGCTAGAAGAGATTCGTAGGTGATTGCCTTGACTACCGCCTCGTCGAAGTGGGGGGTTAGCTGCCTTAACGTGAAATCTTAAAGCAGGTCTTAAACGGTCGAGGTATTCGTCTAGCAACCGTTCCTTTTGCGTAGCCTTAGGCTGGCCCCGGGTCGCCTTTTGACAATTTGTTTAATTCTATCTGCAAACTCACGTGCGGACTCCGATTGCCCTTGTTTGCAGTCGCTGAGTTGCTGACGAGCTGCGGAAGTGAGGAGACTCGAAGTGGCCACGTAATTGCTCGACTATCTTGCAGTACTGGTTCTTGTCGCTGTCCGGCATCTCGTCGATCAAGTCACGGGCTTCTCCATCTAAAATCCAACAAGAGTATTAGTTTTGAGCTGCTCGGGTAGCGGTGGATTCACCATCCTTACCATATCCTCGAAGCGCCTGAACCAGGAGTCAAAGTCCTGGCCATCGGCTCCAGTAAAAGCTCTGAGTGTCTTGGGCGCGAGCTGCCCGAAGGCCAGGCCGCTAACTACGGACGGATCGGATTCCGTCATGGGCATGGTTCTAACACGGCCAGTCACGACCGATGTCCCGACTGCCGTGGTCAGATCCGAGGGTGGGGGTAGGGTTACCTGTTGCGGTGGTAAGTTTGGTTCCGGTGTCGAAGAATTATCCCTCGAATCAGTCGTTTGCGATCTAGTTGTCGGGCGAGTAGACTTTGAAGAAGGCAGGTTGAAAGCTTCAGCGATGACTGCGCTGACGTCTGAATAAAGACTGAGTTAGCCGACCCTGTATTTATGTGGGCTGCGTTCCTATCGCACAGTTCATCAGTCATCACAAAGCTTTCCTATGAGAACGGCAAAAAAACACGAGCGTAATCAGATAGGAGCGGGCAGATGTTGTGATGTTTGAATTCCAGACTGAGAAAAAGCTTGTTCGAGGCAAAGGGCAGAGTGCAACATTTCTACAGTCGCTGAAAAAGCTGAGGGAAAATGGCTGTGGACGTTTGAATTTTGCCCTTTTGTGTATGAAGCGGGGGCAAAAAGAGAGGGTGAATAATTTCCCAGAAGAAGAAGCTGGACGTTTGAAAATAGCTGAGGAGTACTGTAGAAATTAGAGCGAGTAAAAACTGAGCTGAAACTGCCGCACTGGGCTAGGTGGGACTAATAGAATAATAATGCCAAAGAGTAAAGAAGTGGGTGGGCTCGTTGAGTGTAACAATTATGAAGAAGACTATAATGAGGTCGTCAAGTACTTGGCGTAAGCGGCTTGTGGCAGAAATGCGATCTGTTGCGGCACATCTGGTGGCGAGGTT